AACTTGTGTGTTTATGGGGTGTCCCCCTCCCCCGTATATAAAGGAGGAGAGGGGAGGCCGCCGGCCCTCCTTGGCGCGCCCCCAAGAGGGGAATCCTACTAGGACTCCAAGTCCTAGTAGGTTTCCACCAAAAGGGAGAGAGGGGGAAGGAAGGAGAGGGAGAGGGAGAAGGAAAGGCCCCCCCTTCCTTGTCCTATTCGGACTCAGGGGGAGGGGGCACGCGGCCTTCCCTAGCGCCTCTCTCTCTCTCTCCACTAAGGCCCATCGAGGCCCAATAGTTCCCCCGAGGGTTCCGATAACCCTCCGGCACTCCAATTTTATCTGAATCTTCTCCAGAACACTTCCGGTGTCCGAATATAGTCTTCCAATATATCAATATTTATGTCTCGACCGTTTCGAGACTTCTCGTCATGTCCGTGATCACATCTGGGACTCCGAACAACTATCGGTACATCATATCACATAAACTCATAATACCAATCGTCATCGAATGTTAAGCGTGCGGACCCTACGGGTTCGAGAACTATGTAGACATGACCGAGACTCATTTTTGGTCAATAACCAATGGCGGAACCTGGATTCTCATATTGGTTCCTACATATTCTACGAAGATCTTTATCGGTCAAACCACATAACAACATACGTTGTTCCTTTTGTCATCGTTATGTTACTTGCCCGAGATTCGATCGTTGGTATCATCATACCTAGTTCAATATCGTTACCAGCAAGTCTCTTTACTTGTTCCGTAATACTTCATCCCGCAACTAACTCATTAGTCACAAAATTCTTGCAAGGCTTATAGTGATGAGTATTACCGAGAGGGCCCAGAGATACCTCTCCGAAACACGGAGTGACAAATCCTAATCTCGGTCTATGACAACCCAACAAATACCTTCAGAGACACCTGTAGAGCACCTTTATAATCACCCTTTTACTTGTGATGTTTGGTAGCACACAAAGTGTTCCTCCGGTATACGGGAGTTACATAATCTCATAGTCTGAGGAACTTGTATAGAAAAAAGTCCATTTTACTACCCTGAAAAAAGTTCGTGGTTCACATAACCCCCTGATCTTTTTTTCGGTTCCCTTACCCCCTAAACAATCCCAAACCGGGCAGAAACCATCCCTAGCTGGTTTTGCCTATATCGGATGCTGATGTGGACACAGTCAAAGGCGGTATTTGGCCCGTGGGTGGGGCCCTCTCAGCTAGACACTCTCACTGACTATTGGGCCCGGTCAAATATGACACATGGGGCCCACATCTCAGAGATTAACAAGGGACTAGTTTAGCCCTAATTGCATCATTAACAGAAGGGGACCCACATGTCAATGTCTCAGACTAACCCTAGTGATGAAGGGGACCCACATGTCAATGTCTCAGATTAACAGAAGGGGACCTAAACTAATGATGCCACATCAGCGTGGTCCTGCTCCGAGGTCGCCGGCGTGGAGGGCTTCAACGGCGGCGCATCGGCGCGGTCGTGCTCAGGCGCAGCCGTGCGCAGAGGAGGCCGGGGCGACGGTCAAGGCGGCTGCGGAGGTCGTGGACTCCCATTGACCAGAGGCGGCCGGCCAGGGGTGTGTGGATGCAGTAGCAAGGGCCGGCCATGGACGTGGAGGTGGCGGTGCTACAGCGATGCAGGCGGCCCGGGGAGGCGAGGGACGACCAGATCTGAGGGTGGCGCCCCCATCTGATCTGGTTCCGGCCGGATCCGGACTCCGGCGGCGGTGTGAAGATGGTACGGCGGCGAGCTTGTGGCGGCGGAGTGACCTGTACCTGAGAGAGAGATACGAGGGAAGAGAGAGGGAGAGGAAAGAGAAGGGAGGAAGGAGAAGCGGGGCGCTCGGGGTAGCGCCTTGGAACTCCGGCAATCACCGGCGTCGGTCGGAGGCGGGGCAAGGTTCGGGTGCGAGGGAGCGATGCTCGGGGAGGTAGGCGACAACAAAACGCGGTCCACCTGATGGAGGCCCACCCACGGGTCAAAACCACCATTTGACTGTTGCCACATCAGCGCCAAGATGAGTCAAAACCATCCAGGGATTGATTTTGCCCGGTATAGGATTGTTTAGGGGGTGAAAGGAACCGAAATAAAGATCAGGGAGTTGTGTGAACCACCAACTTTTTTCACGGTAGTAAAATGGACTTTTTCACTTGTATAAGTCATGAAGAAAACAGTAGCAATGAAATTGACACGATAATAATGCTAAGCTAACAGATGGGTCATGTCCATCACATCATTCTCCTAATGATGTGATCCCGTTCATCAAATTACAACACATGTCTATGGTTAGGAAACATAACCAACTTTGATTAACGAGCTAGTCAAGTAGAGGCATACTAGGGACTATACGTTTTGTCTATGTATTCACACATGTACTAAGTTTTCGGTTAATACAATTCTAGCATCAATAATAAACATTTATCATGAATTAAGGAAACAAATAATAACTTTATTATCGCCTCTAGGGCATATTTCCTTCAAAAGGTTTGTGCAAGAAATTAATGGCATACATATCCAAATACCGATGGACTAGATCATTGAGTTGGAAATGTATGCATTGGAAGTCATGCGAGAATATGGTTGTTCCAAAGTCTAAGGTGGGTTGGGCTTTCGGATCTAGAACTATTCAATGATGTTATGCTAGCTAAGGGCATCTCCAATGGTTGTAAGACAGTTGTTGGTAGACTTTGCCACATAGGATTTTTGATGATGTGTCATACAATAAATGAGAGAAGAGAGGAAGGTTGTATGTACATGAACCAACACCCCTTGCACAAGCTCCAATGTAGAATGAGAGAGCACCTTATTTATTATCTCACATCCTATTGGGCAAACTAGATACAATCCATTGGATTGTTGTATGTTAAGGTGTTGGTTGATGACATGACATATTTTATCAACAAGCTAACATACAAGTTGTTGGAGATGCCCTAAGTAGGCATTGCAACTGTTGAAAAACCCGCAAAGCTTATGTCTGCATGTATAGAAGTGGCGCTATTACCCACATGGGGAGTTCCAATCGGTTGGTAGCCCATCGGTCATTCACCAACATGGTGAACTATCATCAGGGCAAGAAACATGCTTCAGAAAGGTCTTGTCAGGCGAATTGGGAACGACATGAAAGAAAAAGTATCTGGATTGTCAGGACTAACACCATGAAACCAATGAGAATGCTTAAGGAAAATTTAGTTTAACTTGTGTCTGATTTGATCCATGAAGAAATAGGACAATGGAACCTTGAACGTATAAGGAGATTTCCTTGTGCCTGATGCAGATGCTATCCACAATATGCCGAGACCAAGAAGGCCCAAGGGGGATATATGGGCATGGGCGTGGGAGAAGAATGGCATCTTTTCAGTACGATTGACTCACAGAGAAGTCATGGGCGCTCGTATGAAAGGAAAGTTTTCAGTGGGCAACTCATGTGATGATACTACTGTTTGGAAACCCCTATGGAAACTAACGACATGTTTGGTTTAGTCGATTTGGCACAGTTTTTCTATTTCCTATGCTTTCCAAAATAATAGATGGCGTTTGGTTTGAGTAATACGTCTTCCATAATAGTGTATTGCATTTGGTTCGAGTACTACCTCTTCCGTAATAGTGTATTTTGATACGCCGCTTCACAGAGTCGAAAACAGCCGAACGACAGCTGATTAGGAAACATGACCAAACCTCACGAACCAATCAAAGCTCGTATCTGGTAAAAGTAGATCGAAAGCAGTGCTTCCTGATAACGAGACCCGCTACATTACTTGAGCAGTAACCAAACACATCGTAAACGTCTTACCAAAGATCAGAGTCTTATGGTGGAGGGTGGTCCATAATATGCTACCATGCTTTGAAGAATTAAACTGGCGACATATTAAGACCGAGGCTATCCGCCTGATGTGTGGTCATGAGCGGGAGAGTATTTATCGTAGCCTATTTGTCATGTGATCATGCGAGGCGTTTTTGGGAGGCTGTCCTGGTTTAATTCAACATCAAAAGCGTCCAAACTACACCTGCAACATGGTCAAAAGATATGCTGTATGCGAAGATGATCCCCAAGCATGACGAGGCAATCATGATCATGGTAACATGGGTAATTTGGTATTCGAAAAATAAGTTCACGCATGGTGAAGAGCAGTAGCAGCTGCACAAATCGATGATCAACGTTGATGATATTGCGAGTACCCTCGAGGTACCGACACATGAAATAACACAAGAAGGTGTGGTGCAGGTGAAGTGGGAACCGCCGGAAGCTGGCTGGGTCAGGATCAAAACCGATGGAGCAATCGATGTAGGGCGATGACGAAGGGAATTCACTTTATCGACAGAGACTACTCTGGGACCTTTGTGGCAGCGACATGAGCGAGATATGATGGTATTCTAGTTTGTAGCCCCTCTCGCTATTGAGATACTTGCATGCCGATGTAGTGCTATTTGCACGCAATAAAGAAATATTAAAGGTACGCATGAAGAGTGGTTGTCAGGAGGTGCATGGAGACTGGTTGTCAGGAGGTCTGTACACTCTAGAATGATGGTTTAGAACGTTTTGGTGCCTATCAAGTGCTCCATGAAATTAGAGATAGTTTCTTATTTCCAGGGTTTAACCTTTTACACGTTCGTAGGCAAATGAATGAGGCAGCTCATCGCATTGCGAGAGAAGTTTTACACAACTATGATGTAATCCCTGACATTCTAAATTGTGTGTTGTAATCTAAGCCTTCGCCGATTGAATAAAGCGGAGTGTATATTCATAAAAAAGAAAAAGAAAAAGGATGTTCAAGAGAAAAAGAGAAAAAAGAAAGAAGGAGTGTAGGAGCAAGAGCAACCGAGGGAAGCCAGCGACTCGGGGTTCGCGGAGAGTCGCGGTGTCCAGCGACCGAACGACCGCTCCGTAGCTGTAATCGAGTCTGCATCGTTGCACGTTAGGCTTTCCCAAACCTCCCGTCCCGTCCCAGCGGATTGCGGCCGCGCGACGAGGCGGAGGCTCGTTCGTCGGCCACCACGGCCATGTCCTCCTCCCTCGCGCTCTCGCTCCCACCCCGGTGCGCGCTCCCCCTCCCGCCACCTCGCCTCGCATCCAAGCACCCATCTCTCCGCGCCAACCAGTGCCACCTCCTCGTCCGCACGCCCCAGCGCCCGCTCCCCCCGCCTCGCCGCCTCCTCCTCGCCCGCAGGGCTTCGTCGTCCACCGCATCCCTCGCCGAGCCGGCGCGTGAGGGTGGCGCGGGCGGGAAGAAGGCGCCCGGGTTCCGGAACAGGTTCCTGGACCTGGCGCGGCTTGGGGCCGTGGCGGAAGGCGCGGCGGAGGCCTTCTTCCGCAGCGAAATCCGGCGGCGGCTTGCCGTCACGGCCGTGCTCATCGTGCTCAGCCGCGTCGGCTACTTCGTCCCGCTTCCCGGGTTCGACCGCCGCCTCATCCCCGACTCGTATCTCAGCTTCGCCCCGCTCCCTGCAGGTACTACTGTCCCCCGGTTTATTCGGTCATGCTAGCTGTACTACATGTGCTGAAGCGTGTAGGCATGCCACGGAATTTTAGCAAACATCTTAAATTGCAGTTTGCAATGCGCCTTCATCTATGCAGATGACCTCGTTGATTTTGCTTCTGAACTGAAGCTGTCATTTTTCCAGCTGGGAATCAGTCATCAGATATCAGCATCGATTGTGATGCAGGTTAGATTTAGATATTCTCTTCCTCTGTCCTGTCATGTGCTTCTCTTTTCCGATAGCAATACTCCAATGTCATTAGCCACAGCAGAAATCTCATATGTATCGTTTCTTTTTGCCTTCTCAGTTCTCACTATTGCCGTTACACTGTTGTTTGAATTTACATTCATGCATCCCCATCAATTACCGTTTCATCAGAGCTGGTTTGTTTTGCTAGTTCAAGACTTAGAACCTGACATATTATGTGGTTCAACTAGGTTCAGATCCCATTAACGGATTAACCCCACTTTAAGGTCCAAGTGGGAGTGGGCCTCCAGCAGTGCCCGCATGAACCATCCCACATAAGATGGTACACGGATGCCTGCAGGTTAGCACACAACAGATGTGGAACTTGTGGGTCATCCCGCTCAGTCACAACTAAGCTCACTTCTCGCGTGGTCTGTGCGAACGGCCGCATCGATCAGCCTCTGCCATTGCATGCTGCAGCTTAGACAGTGAAGTCAAATCTGAACACAAGTGTGAACACATCAGTCTCTCTCCACTCTTGTTGTGACATCATCTGTTGATGATGTGTGCCACCGATTGATTCATGTTCATATGCAACATCTAGACTGGTCTTAACAAGTACTGAAATTGATTTATTGATACATGAGCGTTCCCATCAATTACCGTCGCTATCCGGACATAGTGAGCTTAACTATGCATATCTCTGTTTGTTAATCGATTAATTTCAGTTAGGAGAAAGTTACTGTGTGTCCAATCTAGCATACTAGCTGGAACACATAGCATACATACTAGACAGTGCCGCTTTGTGGGTTGCCGCAAATGCCCACATAACACATGCGGGACGGCGTGGGCAGAAGCGGGCAGCCGGCTGTTAGCCCCCCTTAAACCCTTAAACCCTGAAGGCCTGAACCCTCAGCCGAAGATAACTTGTGACATATGTTATGCAGTGGCAAAGAAGTTTATTGTCGCAACCAAAATGAACATGACCAAAGGATTTTATGCACCTGACTTCAACATGCCATGGACAATAACCAAATCCACACTTAAAATTCCAAACATAACAAAAGTTCAGGTTTTTGTATCTGTTAGGCTCCATTTCATCCATACAAAACATAGTTTCAAGTTTTTTTGCGTTTAGTACGTACCATTACAGCTGCACATAAGATAAGCTCGTGTAGCAGAGAGAAGCTGCCTATGTTTGGTTCTTTCCCAAGCTTGCCCTACCAAATATTTGGCTAGCCAAATTTTTTGTTAAGCTTTTGGTTGCCCATGAGTTGGTGTCAACATAGGCAAGAAAAATGAACTAGAGTGGGCAAAGAGCCATTGACACGGCAAAAAACTGGCAACCCTTCAAACAAAGAGGCCAAAATTAACATACCCTTAGCGCAATGGCGCAAGAAATGAGGTCTGTTGTCATACAACTGGTGGGTTTTGGTCTTAATTTTGTGCTGCCGAGGCCAAGCAGAGAATATCAGACCTGGATGTCATGCATGTATTGAAGCAACGGTGTGATAGCAGTAGGGACAAGTCTGAAAAGAAGAGCGTAAGATTGAGATTTAGGCTGTGGCTAGTGGCACAAGCAAGTTGTTCCTAGATCTTAGTTCTCCATTCACAGAAAACCAGAATCCTTATAAACAACCACTTTTTAGTTGTAACTATGACACTCAAGCCACTAAAAGTCTAATTGGGTAACTTCAGAGTGTCTTTTGACTATACTAGCTGAAGACAATTTTTATTCCAAGATATAACAACCCTTTATACTACTATTACAATAACAACTTGTGTCTATTTTAGGTTCTTTGCCATGTTCTTCCATCACTTGAAAAGATTCGCAAGGAAGGATTAGACGGGCATGAGAAGATCAAAAGCTATATGTGTGTTTAGTCGTCTATCTTTAACAGCGAGATTGAATTTCTCTTGGGAACTGTTCCATTTTGTATATCTTCATCTAGTCTGAGCTCCTCCATCTTGATGTTTAGATGGTGGCTATCATTGGGTTTTGCAATTGTGGCTGCTTGTACTGTGTCATGCTATTCACTGCAGTACTCCATATATGCAGCAAGTTACAGGTAAATTACCTTTTTTGCGTATATGATATGATACTTTGACTTCTGTTCTACTCGTATCTGGCAAGCTTGCTGAAGTGCTCCACCATTGACCACATCGTGCCTGTTCCTTTGATTTTTTTCCTTTTCTTTTGCCATACATCAATGGAAGATGGAGGCACTTTAAAATTAGAACTAGCGCAAATGTATGCTATTATCAGAGTTTGCATATAACTTATCATTTGATTTACGGCATGCCCTGACTCATTTGTACACTGACGAGACATTATAAGTTGTCCTAATTTGATTGAACTGGAGGGATGCTTTTCTGTTCTCTCTGTTACTCTATTTATTTTGCTTTCATCTGTGTCAGGGTTAAGCATGTCATATTAACAAGCTTTCTGCTTGTCCTTGGTGCAATGTCGACGACTTGGATCTGTGACACCATAACGGAATCTGGCTTTGGTAGTACTTTCATCTCTTTCATATTTTGTTTTAGCACCATTAGTTGCATGAGTTGACTCTTTTGTGTTATTATGTTGTACTATTCAACATTCTGTCATGTACATGCTGTACATGGAAGTCTTGAATGGTTATTCATAAGAGGCTGTTTTGAGTCACATTTTTCATATTACTAGTATAGTACTCCGTTCGCAAATGTAAGATGTTCTGGATATTTCACTACATACGGACTGAAATGAGTGAGCAAACACACTAAAACGTGTCTATATACATCCGATTCACAAAGAAGTTAGAATATCTTATATTTGTGAATGGAGGGAGTACATGTCTACGCATCATATCCTTAAGTTGTGACCATTTGATTGTTGTTTTTGTCTGAATGAGATATTTTTGTTCTGCATACTAAAAAAGGACAGACCCAGTGCATAGAAGCTCCCACACAAGGTGGGGTCTGGGGAGGGATTATAGGAACCTAGTCTTACCCCTGCAAAGTGCAATGCAGAGAGGCTGGTTCGAACCCAGGACCTCTTGGCACAAGTGGGGAGGACTTCACCACTGCGCCAGGCCTGCCCTCTATTTTTGTTCTGCATACTGTTTGCACCAAATAAACTGAACCTGTACTGTATAAGCTGAATAAATACATCCTTTTGGGCAGTCTATGTGCAACAGCAGCAGCAGTTTAGGCGTTGCAACCTGGCAGCTGCAGTCAGCATGTTATGTGGTCCTGCGGCCTTTGGCATGGTACCAATAATCCAATAGAATCAGCAAAAGCTAGTGCTGATGCTAGGTTGTTATGTTTGAGGTAAACACGTTCTAGATGGGAAATGATTGTATGCCATCTGTTACCTAGTACTAGCATGTTCAATTAGATTGATTGCTAGGTATCCTCCTATTTAGGGATGAGAAGGCCCGCAAGTTGGATGTAGTAAGAATTATCAATGAGACTCAGTCCTCAAATATCTCTCTCTAATCTAGTTTCTCTCCACCCTAGCGTGGGTACTTTCTCCTGTAATCGCTGTTCTTCAAACCTTCGCAGTCGATCTACTTTCTATGATGTTTATCCCTAACAGTATGTCTAATGGAAAAAAAAATGCATGCTCATGTTGTGGAAGAGCTTCCCGATTTGGTCATTTTTTATATGGGAGCGTCTGTTCATGACAGAAATAATTCCACACTTCGTTTCATTTTTCCTAACTGATTTGAGTCCCAACCAATGTGACTGCTGCTACTACTGTTGCTGAGAAAAATAAAATAGTGATTTTGAATTGGGGCTTTCACTCTGTTCTAGTTCATCCGCTGATTACTAAACTGTGCAATGAGAAGGATTTCGCTATATATGAAAATCAATGAGTAGGATTTCCTACTGCATGGACTTGAAAAATAGCATATGCAAAATCATTTCTATAAATGTTTATGTGGATGTAGTGAGGTAAACTTTACCATGTTTATTATCATCAATAGCAGTGCATATCTTGTTATTGGGTAGCAATTTCATGCTTACTGCTTCTTGTGTATTTTGCCGCTCAGGGCATGGCTCATCTTTGATTATCTGTGTTGGAATATTGACTGGTTACACAAATACACTACACAAGATGCTAACTCAATTTTCAGGTAATCCCTCCTTACTAATTGTTTGTATGTTTTATTTATTAATTGAGTCTTCCACGCAAGTTAAACCTTAGAGACGGTGATTTGTATATTGCTAGACTGTATTTGTTACTTTTACATGCCCTATTTTCTTGCTTATTTCGGGGCTGCCTTTCATACTGGCAACAAAAAATCATGGTTGAAATCTTAAATTCTAATACTCCTTGGTAGATCAAATTATCATGATGCATACCAAGCACGTTAAACAAGGGCGTCCTGATGCCCCTCCCGCTCCCCTAGCTCCCCTCTCCACCAACCCCGCCGTCGTCGACTCCACGCCGGTAGCCCCCCTCCCTTGCTCTGCCATGGCCCCCCACCCCCCCTCGCCCACCCGCTCCCTCTCCGGCGAGCGCGTCTCCTCCGGCGACAGCCGCTGGTCTGATTCCGGCTCGGACAGCGCGGCTCCCCCTCGTTCCTACCGCGACGTCGCTCGCACCCCACCGCCGGCTCCGCCCGTCCACGACATCGTCCTTGCGTCGGCGCCCGGCGGCCCCGCCCCGGCGGCCCCCAGGCTGCCCGCCTCCGCCCGCCTTGGCCCCCGCTCGGAGGTGCACCGCGTCTCGCGCGGCGCCTCGGTGGACGCCGACGGCTACCAGCAGCCACGCCGCAGAAATCGACGTCGGCCTCGCCGCGAGCCTGCGCGGAGCCCGTCGCCGCGGCGCCAGCGCAGCCTGTCCCCCGAAGAGCTTGCCGGGCTCTGTTTCCGCTGCCTCGACCCCCGCCACCGCGTCCGCGACTGCACCAATGACATTCGCTGCCGACGGTGCCTCATCTCCGGCCACGACTCCCGTGGATGTGACGACTTCCACCGCCGCGCTGGACGCGTTCCACCCGCTGCCCCAAGGGCTGCCGAGCACCACGCCGGCCGCGACCCCCCCGCCGCCCAGCGGACTGCCGCGCCCCAGACACCGGCTCCTGCTCCGGTTGTGCAGGTCGCCCCCCAGCCACCGGCCCCAGCTACGGTCGCGCACATGAGCGCTGCTGCACCAACGCGCATCATCATGTCGCGCACTGTTGAGATGGAGGAAGCGGAGGAGGTGCTCAGCCGGGCGATGGTGGCCACCATCACTGGGACTCGTCCCCAGGTGTCCGCCGACGACGTTGCTGAGCTCCTCTACTCCACGTTCGGTTTTGAAGAAGGCGACTTCACCACCCACCTCCACAAGCCGGAAGATTTCCTGATCATCTTCGGCTCCCGCGCCTCCAAGGACCGCATGAACGGCGACCACTACATCCGCTGCCCGCGCTTCTCACTGTCGCTTCGCCCCTGGTGCAAGCTTGCCCACGCCGGCTCCGGTGGGTTCGAATACCGCGTCGAGCTCGAGCTCCGCGGCATCCCCGCCCATGCCTGGCACTTAGCGACGGCGGAGCACATCCTCGGGACCGGGGTCTGGATTGAGCGCCTCCATCCGCAGACGCGCTCCCGCGCCGACCTGGCCACGTTCCGCCTCTCTGGTCGCGCGCACGACCCTGCCGACATCCGCCGCGCTGCGACACTGGAGATCGCCGAGGTCACTCCGGGACGCACCGCCTCCTCCGCCCCCACGGTCACCACCCTCACGTACCCCATCACCATCGCCCTTGCCCGATCCGACGTCGACCGAGCTCGCGCCCCCTCTGGTCATGCAGCTCGCCCAGATGGCGCGGGTGACAGGCGCGCGGCGGCTGATGGCGACGCCGATGCCGGCCAGGGCCCCGGACGAGGCTGTTCGCGTCGCCGCGGCCGCAAGCGCCGCCGCACTGCCGCTGCTCCGGAGGGACGTGCCGACGGCATGACTGTCGACGCTGCCGGCTGGACGCACCCCCGTGGCCAGCACCGCGCTGACGGCCTAGCCGTCGCCGATCGCTGGTCCGGAGTCTGCAACGCCGTGCGCGCAGACACGCCACCGCCCGTACCGTCGCCGGCCCGATGTATGGACGCCTGGCCCACCGCCTGCACCCAGGGCCACCCCTCTCGTCACAAAGCTAAGAGAGGAAAGAGGGGAGGAAAGAAAAAGCGTGAAAGAAAGGAGGCTGCGCTCACCAAGGCTGCGGCGGCAGCAGATCCCAGGCCGACAGGATCGCCTCAGCGGGAGTCCGTGCATGTCGCTCCCCCTGCTGGCCCCTATCCACTGGTGCCAACTCCCCCGACAAGATCGCCTCAGCAGGGGGACACGCATGTCGCTGCCCCATCTGGCCCCCAACTGCTGGCGCCAACCCACCCCCCACCTCTGACGCCGGGCCAGACGCGGCCCCGTCACATGCGTCGCCTAGCGACTGGGTGGGCACGGCGACTGTTGTTGAGCCCACATGCAGCGCGGTCCTGGACACCCAACCAATGGTGCCGCCCGTCGACACAGTGGATGATGATCCTTTGTCGGGACAAGATGTCAGTTCGTGCACATCAGCGCCTACGGCCGCCGCACCACATGCTGATCTATCCGCGCGGGCGGACGCGCGGGACTTCCAACCTGGTGCCGCCCAGCCGCCAACCCATGGCCAGCTGATTGCTCCGACTGCTGATGCACCTGATGGCCAGCCCGCAAGCCCTGAAGCGGCCCACACACAACTGCAGATCCTTCAAAGACCCCAAAACCTGAACTCTCCCAGGCCACCGCCCTCCGGCCCTCTCGCTGACGGCCCATTAGATGAAGATGCAGTCCAGACGCCAACGCCGACCATCAGAAGTGCGACACGCTTCGCGTCCCCCCCTGTCACGCTCCGCCGCAGCTGCCCGCGTGCCCCCTCGACAAGCTCTTGGACCCTTGGCGACTTTCTCGCCGCGGCCACCAGGCAGCTCAGCTCGGTCCTCCCCGCTCCGGGCCGTAAACCGAGAAGGCAGCCGCCGAGCTTTGCCCAACCTCGGCGCGGGCGCTCGACCACCGTGGCCAAGACGAAGACCGGGGCACCGCCGACTGCCGCACGCCGCACACAGGTGCAAATACTGCGCACGCTCGGTATCGTTGACGCGGATCAGGCGATCACCCCGGAGGCCATGAAAGCTTATGATGACATCTTTGCCGCGCCGATTCCCAAGACGGTCCTTGCGGCCCTTGCGGCACTAGTTGGGCGCGAGCTTCCCGCCGACCCCTCTGTCGCACCGGTTACTACGGTCATCGCTGGCAGGCCGATCGAGGCCTAGCTGTGCGCTTGTGCCCCCTGTGTCGATCATGCTTTTATGGATCATGGACCGAAGATTATCGTCTGGAATGTGCGCGGACTAAACACCCGCGCTAGGCGCACCGCCATTCGCTCGCTGATCGTGTCTACCGACGCGTCGATCGTCTGCTTCCAGGAAACCAAGATGGAATTCATCCACATGTCCACTGTCCTCGAAACGCTTGGTTCGGACTTTGATGACTATGTTTACCTGCCGGCGATTGGCACTCGCGGTGGTATCCTGCTGGCCTGGAAGAGCAGGATGGTGACTGTTGACAATCACATGTTCAGCCCCAACACGCTCACCACCCAGGTTTTGACTCCATCGAGCGTGGACGCCCCCTGGTGGCTGACCATTGTATATGGGCCGCAGCAAGACCAGGAGAAGATCGTGTTTCTTCAGGAAATCCGCGACGTCCGTGCTAACTGCGACGGCCCTTGGATGCTCTGCGGAGACTTCAACTTGATCTACCGAGACGAAGACAAGAACAACGGGAATATTAACAGACGCATGATGGGGCGCTTCCGTCGTGTTATCAACGACCTCGCGCTTAAGGAGGTTTACCTCAACGGTCGACGATACACATGGTCAAATGAGCAGACCCCGCCCACGTTGGTTCACCTCGACCGAGTCCTTTGCACCGCGGATTGGGAGGAGCGGCACGGCGAGTGCCACCTGCGCTGCCTTGCCTCGGTTGTTTCCGATCACAGCCCGCTCATGCTGGACTGCTCGCCCTCGCCCCCGGTGCACCGGCGCTTCCAATTCGAGGAATACTGGACGCGCATTGCCGGCTTCCAAGACGTGGTTGCAGCTGCTTGGTCTTCGGTGGACGACCCGAGCCCGTTCCGCCGCATAATGCGGCGCATGAAGGCCACCGCACGCAGACTCACGAGCTGGAGCGCTCGCGCCGTGGGCAACATCCGCGACCAGCTCGCGATCTCGCGCGAGCTGCTCCTGCGTCTTGACTCGGCCCAGGAGCTTCGCCAGCTCACGCCCCACGAGGACTGGCTCCGCCGACAGATCAAGCTGTCATACCTTGGCCTCGCTTCGCTCGAGCGAACCCTGGCTCGACAACGCGCGCGCATCTCTTCTCTCAAAGACGGGGACGCCAACACATCCTTCTTCCATCGCCAGTGCACTTATCGCAAGCAAAAGAACAGGATCCACTCCCTGTCGGTTGACGGCGTCGTGCTCACCGACCAGACTGACATGGCTGCGGCGGCCTTCGCGCATTACGATTCTCTGCTCGGGACCGATCGACCTCGAGATTGCGCCCTTGACCTGCAGCATCTCATCGAGCCGGCCGCCCTTGACGACCTGGAGGCCCCATTCACTGAAGACGAGATTTGGCAAGCCATCAAACGCCTGCCGGCGCGCAAGGCGCCCGGCCCGGACGGCTTTACCGCGGAGTTCCTTCGATCCTGCTGGCCCGTTGTCAAGCACGACTTCGTCTGCGCCTTCCAGCAGCTTCATTCGCTCCGTGGACGAGGATTCAGTTATCTGAACCAAGCGCTGCTCACACTCATCCCAAAGCGCGCCGACGCTGCCAGCCTGTTCGACTACAGGCCCATCAGCCTCATCCACCTCGTCGCCAAGATCTTCGCGAAGGTGCTGTCTCTCCGCCTCGCGCCCAAGCTCAATGACTTGATCAGTCCCATCCAGAACGCCTTCATCCCCGGACGCAGCCTCCACGACAACTTCTTGATCGTGCGACAGTCGGCGCGCCTCCTCCACCAGCTGGGAGCTCCGCGCATCCTCCTCAAGCTTGATCTCACCCGCGCCTTCGACTCCGTCTCATGGCCCTTCCTCTTCGAGACCCTGCGTCGATATGGGTTCGGTGATCGCTTCCTTGGCTGGATCGCCATCCTGCTCTCGTCGGCCAGCACCCGAGTCCTCCTAAATGGCGCGCCTGGCCCGGCGATCTCGCATCGATGTGGACTCCGCCAGGGCGACCCGGTGTCACCGCAGCTCTTTGTGCTTGCTGTCGACACATTGGGGCGCTTGTTTCGCCGGGCTGCTGAGCTCAACATCCTGCAACAGCTGCACCCCCGTCGTGCGATCCCCATCATCTCGCTTTATGCCGACGACGTCATCCTCTTCTGCCACCCCTCACCTAGCGACACGTTGGCGGTCAGAGAGATCCTGCAGCTTTTTGGCAGAGCTTCAGGCCTGCGGGTAAACTTTCAGAAGAGCACGGCCACGATGATTCGTTGCGTAGTCGAGGAGGTCGCTCCGGCCATCGCGACGCTGGGATGCCCCATCGCGCAGTTCCCCATCACCTACCTGGGTATCCCCCTCACCTTGCGACGCCCGACTGCTGCCCAACTGCAACCCATCGTCGACAAGACTGCCGGGAAGCTGCCCACTTGGAAGGCGCACCTCAGGAACAAGGCTGGACGCCTCGCCTTTGTCAAATCTGTGCTCTGTGCAATTCCCCTGCATCAACTCCTTGTGCTCGCGCCACCGAAGAAAGTCCTCAAACTCCTTGAGAAGATCCAGAGAGGCTTCCTCTGGGCTGGCCGCACCGAGGCTCAAAATGGCAACTGTCACGTGAACTGGCGCCGCGTCTGTCGCCCCACACGCCTAGGCGGCCTCGGCATTCATGACCTGGAGCGCACGGGCCTTGCCTTGCGCACCAGATGGCTCTGGTTCGCGCGCACAGACGGAAACAAGGCCTGGGCTGGCCTCGATCTGCAGTTCTCCAGTGAGGAACGTGCATTCTTCTTTGCGTCCACCTCCATGGTCCTTGGCGATGGTCGGCGAGCATTGTTCTGGGAAGACCGATGGATCAACGGGCAATCCATCTCTGAGATCGCCCCCCAGCTATATGCCCTCATCCCCAAGCGCCGCCGGAAAATAAGAACAGTGGCCGATGGCCTCCAGACGCACACATGGGCATCAGACATCCATGGCGCCCTTGGCATCCAAGAGATTGGCCAATACTTGCTAACCTGGAGGGCCATTGAGAATATCACTCTCTCTGGTGATCCAGACCAGCTCCATTGGAAGTGGAATGCTGCTGGCACATACACCGCCCAGTCCGCGTACCTAGCCACCTTCCATGGCTCTACTTCCTGCCCGGCATGGAAACTTAATTGGAAAGGCTGGGCCCCCCCGCGAGTGAAGTTCTTCCACTGGCTCGCTAGCTTGGGACGCTGCTGGACAGCTGATCGTCTCGCTCGCCGCGGACTGCCACACCCTCCTCGCTGCCCGCTATGTGATCAGATGCCGGAATCGATGAACCACCTGATCATGGACTGCCCCTTCACCAAGCAGATTTGGCACGACATCCTGTCTTGGCTGCACCTCCCTTGCAGCGCGCCTAATGGTGAAAACTCCCTGTCGACCTGGTGGCACACGGCGCGGCAGACCACACCCAAGCTGATGCACAAAGGACTAACATCCGCGACGCTGCTGATCCCTTGGATGACCTGGAAGCATCGCAACGACTGTGTCTTCAATGCAGCCACCCCTTCGACTAGCGTCTTGGTTGCAAAGATCAAAGAAGAAGCTGCGCTCTGGGCGACCGCGGGTGCTCGAGGCCTGCGTGTCATCCTCCCACAGACCTGGGATGTCCACTGAAGTTATTTTGTGTTTCTCGCCTGTAATGGTGCCTCCTAGGAGGATGTAACAAACTATCCCTCTCTTTTCAATTTAATGAAACGCAAAAGCCTTTTTGCGTTTTCTCAAAAAAAAAGAGATCAAATTATCATTGTATTCTGCCAAGTTTACTGGAATAAATTAAAGAATTCCCTCAATTTATTTTTTTGGTTGTGTTTTAATTAATTAAGCTTAGGAAAATCTTATGTTGAAGCTTGCAGTTAAATTGTAGGGAATGCTGCCATATTGCCTCTTTTGTGATATCTTGGCAGTGACACTATCTTTTCTAACTATGCCATTAGATCTATCTCTTTAGCTCAACATAACATATTGTAGCTCATCCAGCATCATGTGTGCTGTGAACAGTTAGTGCCATTTAATCTTAACATGTTTTATGTCAACATCGTGTTTATAACACAAAGTGCTTCAGTTGAACATTTGTGTTAGTTTATGTAGTAGAATATGCAGTAACTGATAGTGTGACAGTTCTGTTTCATATTGTTTACTTACTTACTAAGCCTTTTGTCCCAAACAAGTTGGGGTAGGCTAGATATGAAACCCTTTCACGAGGACTTCCCAGGAGGTCACCCATCCTAGTACTACTCTCGCCCAAATGGGTTTCATACCCAAAGGACTGGCTAGTTTTTACGTTGGCTCACCAAGCCTATCACAACCCTTAGATATGAAACCCTTTCACGAGGACTTCCCTGGAGGTCACCCATCCTAGTACTACTCTCGCTCAGATGGGTTTCATACCCATGGGACTGGCTAGTTTTTACTTTGGCTCGCCAAGCCTATCACAACCCTCGTCCTTTACCCGGGCTTGGGACCGGCTATGCCTAGAAGACATAGGCGGAGTTCCGTTTCATATTGTTTCCTCTTATTTAAACAATTGACCTTGCCTGTCGGAGCAGGAAATGTGTGCACATCTTGGCCCTACATCTTGGGAGTAGCTGGGATCTTTATGATGGTTACCATGGGGGCAGTGTTGGTGACTGAAGGATGTAGGAAGATAAAGCTTCAGTACTATGGATTCAAGTTGGCTTCTAGTGCAAGGTAATAAAGTAGTTTGATTCTGCATTAATTTTTGTTGCGGCACAATTTTGAATGCTGTTATTTGCGGCAATATGCCAATAACTTCGCAAAAACTCTCAGCTAACTCTGGAACATCATCTGCAAAATGGTTACCTATTAGTTTTTTCTTATGTTGCTTAACACTGTATTTCTCTGAAGATGTATCATCACTTTCTTTCGAACTTGCAAAAATTATTATGTCACACTAGAACATTATGTGCGCAAGATGGAAATGGTTACCTGTTAGGAGTACTTATTAAGTTAGCACATGCTTTCCTTATAATTGTATTTATTAAAAATAAGGGTTACATTGCTTACATCATATACTGATCTTAGGAGATGCGCGGCATTTAGCTCATGACTACCGTCACCTCTCATCCTGTCTTTGGCTAGGCTAAGCTGAATTCTTAAGTTAGTCTGCTGTACTACGGTCCAGGTCAAAGAAATGTTTCGCCAGGAGCCTTTTTTTTTGCCTTAACTGTCAGTTATTTACAGAGGAAAGGAAGATACTTCTATTATAAACTTTCTTAATAAGAAATACTTAACATCACTCAGAAAACCACGGTGCTTCTTCGGTGTACTTTTAGCATGTATTGTTGTACTCTTCTACCAACTGTTTAGCTTTACCCTGGTATGTCATAATGAGATGCTGGATGCATTTTGACCAACAGAAATTACTTGATGGTTACCATCACCCATCGAACGAAATTTTTGCTGATAGTAGATTGAATCCTTATAATTTCCCTTCTATTTCCCTTCCCCAATCTTTTGTAGGAACGAAAACTCCCCAGTTACAGAGGTTGAGCCATATATCCCCTTCAATATAAACCCAACAGGGATGCAGCCTTTGCTTACAACCTCATACCTACTTGCGTTTCCAAGCATTATGGCCAGGTAATCCATTGTTTCCATGTGTGTGCATGTCCACTTTTCCTTTAATTCTGATGTGGATTTTCTGCAGCATTTTTCGTTCGCCATTTTGGGAAAATTTGAAGGAAATTTTGAATCCAATGACTTCAGTTGGTGGTAGTCCTTGGATTTATTATTTGACCTATGCATTTTTCGTCTTCGTCTTCAACATTTTTGACATTGTAAGTTTGTTTTAATCTTCATAACTCGTGGCATCCCTACCTTGAAGTGCTATTGCAGAAACTGGCTTAACAATTAACAGATATATAAGCATTCATGCACTATGTATTATAGAAGACACACACAACTAAACTGTCAGTTCTAAATATATTATACTATAATTGTTTGTCCGGGAAGGGTTTAGTCATTGCTAGCTTGAACTTTTCAAATGATGGAATGAACAAAGTGACCAATGTTATTTCACCAAAACAACCAAAAAGAACCTGCCAACACTATAAGACACACGTTCAACACACACAAGTGCGTGAAAATAATGAATATACTTTTTTCATTTCTATTTTCACAAAATAGAGTTATGCATCATGTCACACTAATGTATTGGTATGGACTTCTAAACTAAAACGTAAAGACTCTTGCAACAGGGTTCATGTTTGTGTCTAGTTTAGCTTTGGGCTGCTATAATGTGCACCTTCTTGAGACAGCCAAGAATTATTTTTCTTTTGGCTGCTATCGAATACCTTTGTACTAACACTTAAAGGTATGCTAAACATTAAAATTTGCCTGCTTTGCGTTCAACTGCTTAGTACTTGTGAAGATTGAATATTAGTGCATTTTGTTTCTCAGGATAAACCTATACCTTGATTATCTTGTTGTCATGATGTTGTATTACTGTTATAGTTGCCTGATGTTCTATAATAGTTGCTTGCCATTAGTGTATATGGAAGCAAGTACTACCACACTGGCATTTAGGATATTGCTTTTATAATTTTTCACAAATATGACAGCTTATGATCTTCAATCTTGACTCTTATAATTTATTAGTGGATGCTTGTTTTTTACATTTTTTAGGAGCATGATATCCTTATTTTAGATTCTGAGGCACACTTCCATTTGTACACGCGCTACCGAAATGTACCTTAATCTACATACCATGCACCGCAGGCCAACTTGCCAAAAGAGATATCTGACTACCTGAATAAGATGAGTGCCAGAGTGCCAAAGATAAAACCTGGAAGAGCAACAGTGGATTATCTTACAAAGATACAAACATCGACACGTTTCTGGGGTAGGTTCACATGGTGAAACTTTTCGTTGGTTTTACCTCCTGCAGACATGTCATTTTGTCTATATCTATCCCTTGTAGGAGGTCTACTACTGAGCTTGCTGGCAACTTCCTCGTTATTACTTGACAGATATCTCAGACAAATAAATGAGGGGTTTTCTATAGGTTTCACATCAGTCTTGATTATCGTGAGTTCATCTCAAACAAATTCTTCATTATTGATATCTTGAAAAAATATAGTTGTGATTTGCAAGTTTATGTTGACTTCATCAGCTATTGCCTATTTTGTAAACATAGATTGTGTAGATATAATGGCGCTGAATCAGATCTAGATAGCTGGATCTAAAATTCTAAATTCTAGAGGACTTCAAATTTAATGAAATCAAACTTGCCGAAGTGCTTGCAGGGATTTCAGCTGATTTGCAGTTTTTCAACGCTATTGATGTCATGTTGTGTGCTACCATATATAACTATATAGATGCCACCCACTAACTATTTTGCTGTTTGTTTTGCTGCCTTTGGTAGAAAAATAATAATGCATGTTCCTCTCTTCTGAATTCAAAATAAAAATATTTGATGGATGTGGTGTTTTTGTTAAATGTGTATAGTTCCATCCACCAACATTGATTTTTCATCCTCTAGAAATTGGGACACTTGGCACAGTGGTAAAGCTGCTGCCTTGTGGCCATGAGGTCACGGGTTCAAGTCCTGGAAACAGCCTCTTGCAGAAATGTAGGGAAAGGCGGCGTACTAAAGACCCCAAGTGGTCGGACCCTTCCCCGGACCCTACGCAAGCGGGAGCTACATGCACCAGGCTGCCCCCTTTAGAAATTGGGACACTTCTGCTGTGTCCTGAAGCTTATTTTCTGAAAACAGATAATTGTTTATATGCTACTGAATTACTACCAGTTTTATCATATACCACTGGAAGATTCCCAATTCATTCTGTACCAACCCACTTCCAAAACTTCACTGTTGGTCACCGCCATGAGTGTGCTGTTGGTGTACTTCCATTAAGGGGTAAATAGATGTCAGTATTTTCACTTATAACTGCCTAATTGGCCATGATCAACAACTAATAGGCCTTGTCTGGTTTGATGCTCCCCCATGGCTTCCTGTATGTGAGGCTTCACCTCTGTAAGGCACCCATGGTGGCAGTGGACTAGCACTCCTTAAGTGGCGAACACAGTAGCCACACTGCTAAACCAGGATACAATGGTCACTTTACTTACTTGACAAAAGTCATAACACCCACCCAGCTAACAGGGAAAGAAAAGAATGAAGAGATTATGGAAGTGAGTCATATACAATGAATAGTGTTTTTCAGTGGCCTATGATGAAACTGGGCGTTTTTCAGTGGCCTATGATGAAACTTGACGTTTTTCAGTGGCCTATGATGAAACTGGGCGTTTTTCAGTGATACATAAGGCCTTGTTCGGTTCCTTCAGATTTGAAGGGTTTTGGAGGGGATTGAGAGGGATTAAATCCCCTACAAGTCAAAATTCACCTTAATCCCCTCCAATCTTTTCCAATCCCAGGAGAATATCTGGTACTCCCACCCCTAGGGTGCTCCCGCTGCTCCAAACTCGGTAGCATATTTTTAAATGGTCAAAAAATTCTGAAAAAGATCTAGCACATTGACACAACATCAATGTATGTTGTCCAAAAAATTCAAATTAAAATTGAAAACATTGTTCGAGATACAAAAATGACAAAATCGACATCAGTGTGATAATGGGCCAAATCTAAAGCCCAACTTATGTTGTGTGCTATTTACTGTCGAATTTGTCATTTATGTTTCTCAAGCTATGTTTCGAGTTTTGATTTCAAATTTTGTGACAACATACGTTGGTGTTGTGTCTATGTGCTGGATTTTTTTCAGAATTTTCTGAACATTTAAAAATGTGCTACCGAGTTTTGAGCACCGGGAGCACCATAGGGGTGGGAGTACCAGATATTCTCCCATCCAATCCCCTTGTGGGAGGGATTAACCGAACAAGCCCTAAAGCAACTCCCAAAACTGGGGTATAGCTCATCTCAAATATAAAATAAAAATTGGGTATAGCTGACAGGTACCATATAGTTAGCTACAGACCTAACAATATGTCAGAACCTTAAAGCATTACATTTGATCAAGCTAAGCTTTGCAGAATTTCTGTGTCACCGAGCCTCTGATTGTGAACTGCTACATTAGATTTAACGGCGTGCTTTCATTCATTAATGGGCATTAGATACTAATTTTGGCATGTATTATAATGATCATTTAGGTGGGCTCAATCATTGAACTTAGAAGGTCCTATCAAGCATATAATGTGATGCCAGCACTAAGCAAAGTTTTGAAGAGATATGGTGCTTAAGGTTATGCAAGCACATATGGTGGTGATGGCGGTTCCATCCTGCAGGTAGTTTATCCACTCTGTTGCTATCTTTTATTGATATTCCAAGTTTAACCTAGACGAGTGTTCTCGGGGGAAATTTCAGGGTTTACAGGCTTACAAGTTCGCTCTATGTTGCAAACTTTCGAGTGAATATTGTTTTCAACAGCTTGAAGTACCTCAAAAGCGTGCTGTCGGTTTGGATCGGAATGATAGAGAATTGGTTCTGGATCGGTCTTCAAGGCCATACTTCGACTAAAGAACCAATTAGGATACCCAGCTGTTCTTTTACAGAAGGATATCCAGTTGTTCCGGTTTTAGTACAGGGAGGATGAAGGAGCTGCGCCATTGTGCCTTTGGGGGCACTGCAATGGTTGATGACTTGTCTCGTTTGTGGACCAGAAAAAGGTTGGGTACCTGGTTCATCCTGTTCCTGTTGTATATATTTCTAGCGGTTCATATCGCTGAACAGCTAACATGAAGGTAGACTGTAGTCGCCTCTGAAAGGCCGGACACAGATTGGTTGGGTAGTAGACTGCTTCAAACATAGTACTAAGGAGTATGAAGATATCGAATGTGACCTGCACTTCGGTGCGAAACCGTGTACTAACAAGGATTATTTTGATGTGTTTATGTATGACTGGAATCTCTTTGTAGCCGTAGTAGGGTTATGCAAGTTCGGTTGATGTAATATTTGCTAATACCTGGCAATCCGGATTATGTTTTATATGACATTAACACGTGTACTCTCCCTCAAAAGAAAAGCACGTGTACTTCCTCTCAATGATTTGGGTGATTCTGGTACTCGTACGATTGAAACCAGCATTGAAATAACCACAAAAGTGCCGGCGTGAATGAAAAGATTCCCAGGAAAGACGACGATTGATTGTGTCAAAGCAAGGCCACCCTCCTACCCTTCTTGCCGGTGGCGCTCTTCTCTTCTTTACGGTGGGGTGAATATGTGATTTTTATGAAAGACTTCGAAACAGACAATGTCTTCGAAGTTAGGGCAGTTGAAACAAAGCCTACAATACAGAGAAATCACGAGGACAAGTAGCAGCTAGGTAGAACAGATCAGAATAGAAAGACAGTGTGAAGCCAAATATGCAATCAGAGTGAATGTCTTCACACAAGTATTCAACTAGAGCAGGCAAACAATGACTTCACGAAGTTAAACAGAAAGATAAGAGGTGAAGTGATAGAACCCTTTGCTCGAAGAAGACAAGGATTTGGTAGACCAGTTCCACTTGCTGTGACAACTGTACGTCTGGTTAAGACGACTGAGATTGAACTCAGAAGACCACGTTTTCACCTTATTCCCCTTGAGCTAAGATCACTTAGTCCTCGCCCAATCCCTCAGGTAAGTCTTCAAGGTAGACTTTCAAACCTTCACAGACTTTATTCACCGGCGATTCACAATGACTTTTGGATCCTCATAACGCGACGCCTAACCGACTGGAATTCTTCAAGTGTAATAAGTTCTCTGATCACGCGGAACAGAAAGACTTCAGTGATGCCGAACACTCTTTAGGCTTTGGATGTTTTGGGTTTTGTCCTCGCAAGGATTCTCTCTCAAAGGCTTTGGAGGTAGGTTGCTCTCAAACGACAAAAGCCGTGTACTAACTCAGCCACCAATTTATGGTGAAAGGGGATGACTATTTATAGCCAGGGGGCAACCCGGCATGATTTGTTCGAAATGACCCTTGGTCATTGGGGAACCGACACTGTCCAACGATCGGATTTTAAACACACGCGACAACTTGACTTGGGTTGCAAGCAAAGCTGACTCATCCAACTCAGGATAACATTTTCTCTCATTTGTCTTCGCTCGAAGACATCGGATTTGGGTTAAGCATCACGTCAGTTTTCTGACTTTGTTCGCTTGAACCCCACTTGACAGTTCGGTGGTTTCTATGACTCAAGAAAGAAGAAAATGAAACTACAAAAGAATTATGTCTTCGCACTCCATTGTCTTCAAGCGAATGATCTTCACGTCTCATTATCTTTGACACGTATGTCTTCGCGAACCACCAGTGTCTTCAATGTCTTTATATATTTTTAGGGTTCATCTTCGATGGGTAAACCGAATCAATAGGGACTTCTACCTGTGTTCTCCAGTGAATCTCACGAACATATTAGTCCCTCAACCAAGTTTATCGTCAATACTCTAAAACCAATTACGGATGGCACTAGATAAATACGAACAATATAAATTTCTTCAATTAATCTGAAGATTGATTGAAGAATGAACTAACACACAAGCAAATGAGCAAGTGTATATAAACGCGACTTGAGAGATTCTTAGTATGAAATTGGGTAATAGAAAGGGCGAGGAAGATAGGTATATAATAGGAGTGAATACTGAAGAAACAAGTGCGCATGCAGTTTCAATGCTAAGTGCCCTCTGAATCTAAATACTAAAGGCTAGTTTCAGATGTGGATAAATGATAATGACGAGCTAAATGAATAGGAATGAATAAATTAAGTTGATGATAAGCTAAGTTGTAGGGGAACAACATATGGTTGCGTGCTGGATTGTTGGCAGAATCCCAACATACACTACAGAAAGCAATGCACCACAAGTGACATGTACCAGTCACAGTCAGAACTAAACGAGCCAATTCCTCTAATCTCCCTTCCTATCTATGGCAGAAGTGTAGATATCCCTCGTCGAATCTTCCTTCTTACAAACAAAAGCAAATGAAGGGTAAATAGACTGAG